AGGACACAGAAAGGCTGCTTGGATGGGAGGAAGAACGGTGAAGGGAAGAAAAGGAGTGGGAATCTGCTGTGAACCTTGTCTGTGTACCACACCACCAGAGAAAGCACAAGGTGGGAAAAGGAGAAGACAAAGTGCAGAAGAATTGGGGAAAAGGGAAAGGGAAGCTGATCTGAGCATCACTGGGAATAGAAGAACGTTTTGCTCCGAGATGTGCACTGCTGGCCTTGGAAGACAGGCGACTGGGGAAACATTAGGCCTCCTGTAACCCCAAACCTGGACAGGGCACATTTTTTTCTCATTTTAGTGCTGTCCTTGCACCGCTGCACCAGCCTCACATTTCTGTGTATGCACTGACTGAAATGGAGCCTGCAGGCAAGAAGGAGGTTTTGGGCCCGTATTTTCCACTGCCCAACCTCTTCCCAAAGAAGAGGTTATTCCCCTGCTTGTTTTTTTTTTCCCCGTTTCATATATTCACATCTGGTCTATTCACTTATTTTCAGAAGACTGCAGGCCTGGAGAAACCAACTGATTTGCACATCAGGCAAGAGCAAATCCTGGGCAGTTAGGATTGGGGAGGATTTTCATACAGACGCTGAACTGTCTGAACTGTCTTAGTAATTACTTAATTCAAATACCTGATAAATATTCGGGAGAATAAAATGCTTTATTAAAGACTGAATCCTCTGTTCTTGCCAGGCAAGGAAAGCAACAAGGAGTAACCCCGTTAGCTGTGTGACAAAGCGGGAGGATGGGCCTCGCGGTCCCCGGTCACCGCTGCGCATGAGCCCACGCAGAGCGGGGCAGGGGGGTTTCCTCCCGGGGCGGCTGGGGGTGCTGGAGGCCGAGCTCTTCCCGCAAGCAGAGGCGGTGGCAGAGCTGCAGCTCGTCTCCTGGGCGAGAGTCAAAGCAAAACCGCGCGGCTCGGCGGTGTCGCGGTTCGGCGGGCGAGGGACCGCGGACGCCTCGCGCGGTTGGGAAAGGGCGGCCCAGGGAGCCGAGCGGGCCCGGCTGCGCCCGAGGACTGCCAAGTTG